AAGATACACAACATATCCCTCCAAACTGCCTATCTATCTATAACAATTCATCTAATGTGACATAATAAACAATATTAATAACATAGAAACATGATATGTTCTCTAGAATGAATAAAATAGGCCATAACATGGCGACTGATGGAGTTGACAGGAGCAGTGGCAGCATCCGCCATTTACTCTCCCACTGACTATAGTATCTTCCTATGCTCTTATTATAAGAGAAAACAGAGTGTTTGTGAAGGCTAACTGCATTAGATCACTATGCAGTTTCATAAGGAAAACATATTGTAAAGAAATAAATGGTGTATGTAGTATTACAGCATTTACCTTGGAGAAGAGATGCTTGCGGAGGTTGATGGTGGAGAAGAGATGCTTGCGGAGGTTGATGGTGAAGAGATACTATCACTTAATCACTTAACTTAATTGCTACACTCTTAATGCTGCACCTTATCACTGAACTTAACTGCTACAATTTGCTGGCGCAATAGCCTTTATAAGCTCTTGCTTTAGTATTGTGCATATCGTAAGTGTTATGCTGGTACGCTACCCTCACACCTTGTTTGTGTTTTTCTATGATATCAAGCTTTACTTCCATACCCATCATCCTCTTTTTCTTCTCAGCACTGTCCTTTGCACTTGCTTTCTTAAGACCCATGATTAGAAAAAAGAAATACAGTGGAACCTCAAAAATCGAACTGCTCCCAACACAACCAATTATGTAAGTGTATTTTTGTAAGTGCTTTTATAAGTGTATTTTTGAGGGTCTGAAATGAACTAGTCTAATTTACATTATTCCTGATGGGAATAAATTCATTTGGTAAAGGCACTTGAACAGCCTTCTGGACAGAAGAAAGTTCGATATTTGAGGTTCCACTGTATGGCGAAATAATTGCACGAAACGTAAGAAAAACACAAAAATTCCTTCCACTGCGAGTATGCATGTGTTGTTGTGGTTCTGAGCCTGCCATCTTGTGGTGGTGTTCTGAAGCTCACTTATTATTTTTATTATAATTATTATTAAAATATGCAAGATTACAGGTATGTCTTGCTACTCCTACTTACACTTAGGTCACACTACACATACATGTACAAGCATATACGTATATATATATACACACACACCACTCTGGGTTTTCTTCTATTTTCTTTCTAGTTCTTGTTCTTGTTTATTTCCTCTTACCTCCATGGAAAAGTGGAACAGAATTCTTCCTCCGTAAGCCATGCGTGTTGTAAGAGGCAACAAAAATACCAGGAGCAGGGGGCTAGTAACCTCTTCTCCTGTATATATTACTAAATTTAAAAAGAGAAACTTTCGTTTTTCTTTTTGGGCCACCCTGGTCATGGATTCGGGCCGTGGGGGCGTTGATCCCCGGAATAACCTCCAGGTAACCCTGCTACTACTACTATTACTACTACTATTACTACTACTATTACTACTACTATTACTACTACTATTACTACTACTATTACTATTACTACTATTACTATTACTACTATTACTATTACTATTACTATTACTATTACTATTACTACTATTACTATTACTACTATTACTATTACTACTACTATTACTACTACTATTACTATTATTACTACTACTATTACTACTACTATTACTACTACTATTACTACTACTATTACTACTACTATTACTACTATTACTACTACTATTACTACTATTACTACTATTACTACTACTACTACTACTATTACTACTATTACTACTACTACTACTACTACTACTACTACTACTACTGATTCTACAATTACTGCTACTACTATTACTGCTACTACTATTACTGCTACTACTATTACTACTACTATTACTACTACTATTACTACTACTATTACTACTACTACTATTACTACTACCACTACCACCACCATAATAATCATTATTATTTTATTAATAATAAATGTATAATAGTAATAGTAATAACAGTAAGGAAAAACTTCAAAAGGCTGCCAGTAGTTGGCACCACCATCAGCAAAACATTGGTAACCACTACTAGTATACTTTTCACCTGTCTAGGCTTAACCCTTTCAGGGTTTCAGCCGTACTGGTACAGCTTATGCCCCAGGGTTTTTGATGTACTAGTACGCCTAAATTCTAGCGCCCTCAAATCTAGTGAGAGAAAGCTGGTAGGGCTACATATGAAAGAATGGGTCTGTGGTCAGTGTGCGCAGTATAAAAAAAATCCTGCATCACACAGTGCGCAATGAGAAAAAAAAAACTTTGACCGTGTTTTTGGATTAAAACGGTGACTTTGCACTGTATTTTCGTATGGTATTTATTGTTGTATTCTAGTTTTCCTGGTCTCATTTTATAGAATGGAAGACATATTACAGAAATTGAGATGATTTTGACTGGTTTTACAATGAAAAGTACCTTGAAATTGAGCTCAAAGTAGCAGAAATGTTCTAATTTTACCAAAGTTCAAAAGTAAACAAATCATGCTATGCATCCAATACACGTCAACTGGTGAGTCTAATATTCTTTCACAAGTGCGCTGATATTATTTATACCATTTCTACACTAATGCAGTAGTCTGCATAACAGTAAATCTATTTTTTGTAAGAATAAAAATTCAAAGTGGAAAGCCAAAGAAATATAAGAGGGGCCTGGGGATGTGACTAACGAACAGAGAACTTGTTATTTTAGTGCCAGGAACGTCTTTCTTGTTTATTCTGGACCCTATTCGGAAATTGGCACCTTTTGAAATTTGTGTGAAATTGGCAAAATTGCTAAATTCTGACCACTTTATTGGATAGTTGAAATCGGTAAATGGGTGGTTTCTTGTACTCATTCGATAGAAAAAATGGAGTTTTAGCGAAGTAGTTATGATTTTTATCAATTAGTACAATGGAATTGGCTGAAAATATGGCTCAAAGTGGGCAAAATCGCTGATGCATAAACATCGTCGATACCGCTAACTTCGCGAGAGCACAATTCCGTAAGTTTTCCATCAAATTTCATATTTTTGGTGTCATTATGATCGGGAAAAGACTCTGTCTTTTCATAAGAAAAAATAATTTTTTTTTTAAATTTTGGGACCGTGAGAACAAGTGTCGGTGAGGGCCTGGGGACCCTGAAAGGGTTAAGTAGTCTGTTAGTATTAGGTTAAGTCTGCCCGAAATGCCTCGGCATGATAGTGGCTTTCTTTGCTCCAATCATATTATGTAAACACGCGTTGTAACCTTTGCAAAGAAATAATTTTTTTTTTTTAACAATTCGGCTGTGTCCCACCGAGGCAAAGTGACCCAAAAAGGAAAGAAAAAATCCCAAAAAAGAAAATACTTTCATCATCATTCAACACTTTCACCTCACTCACACATAATCACTGTTTTTGCAGAGGTGCTCAGAACACAACAGTTTAGAAGCACATACGTATAAAGATACACAACATATCCCTCCAAACTGCTAATATCCCAAACCCCTCCTTTAGAGTGCAGGCTTTGTACTTCCCATTTCCAGGACTCAAGTCCGGCTATATAAAAATAACCGGTTTCCCTAAATCCCTTCACTAAGTATTACCCTGCTTACACTCCAACAGATCGTCAGGTCCTAAATACCATTCGTCTCCATTCACTCCTATTGAACACGCTCATGCATGCCTGCTGGAAGTCCAAGCCCCTCGCCCACAAAACCTCTCTTACCCCTTCCTTCCAACCTTTTCAAGGATGACCCCTGTCCCGCCTTCCTTCCCCTACAGATTTATACGCTCTCCATGTCCTTCTACTTTGATCCATTCTCACTAAATGACCAAACCACCTCAACAACCCCTCTTCAGCCCTCTGACTAATACTTTTATTAACTCCACACCTTCTCCTAATTTCCACACTCCGAATTTTCTGCATAATATTTACACCACACATTGCCCTTAGACAGGACATCTCCACTGCCTCCAACCGCCTCCTCACTGCTGCATTCACGACCCAAGCTTCACACCCATATAAGAGTGTTGGTACTACTGTACTTTCATACATTCCCTTCTTTGCCTCCATAGATAACATTTTTTTTGTCTCCACATGTACCTCAACACACCACTCACCTTTTTTCTCTCATCAGTTCTATGATTAACCTCATCCTTCATAAATCCATCCGCCGACACGTCAACTCCCAAGTATCTGAAAACATTCACTTCTTCCATACTCCTCCTCCCCAATTTGATATCCAATTTTTCTTTATCTAAATCATTGGATACCCTCATCACCTTAATCTTTTCTATGTTCACTTTCAACTTTCCACCTTTACACACACACTCCCAAACTCATCCACTAACCTTTGCAATTTTTCTTTAGAATTTCCCATGAGCACAGGATCATCAGCAAAAAGCAACTGTGTTAATTCCCATTTTATTTATTTACTTATTTATTTAAGGAACCTCCCTTGAGGGGAGAGTTCACATCCTGAAAGTTCGTTCTTATCCAGAAGCGAGAAATTGACCGAATGACTGTTCGTATCCTGGAAAATTTGCATGGTGGGGCTTTCGTAAGCCGAGGTTCCACTGTATTAGCAAAACACTGTAAACCGAAGTGCTGTAAAGCAAGGCCCTCCTGCATCTGGAAAATTAATCAAAAGTCTACATTAAGTAATGTTTGTGTGATTTATTGCCTTTGAGATCATTGTGTATTGATTAGTGTATTATAGATGATAGGACACTTAGGAAAACATTATTGAATATGCTGCAGTCCTCTTAGTCACTGCAAAGTCCTAGGACTGAAATGTATCCAGTAAAGATATACCAATAAAGATATTTCCTATCATCCACATTGTCAATATTGTTATACCTTATATTGATTACTTTGATGTATTTTTTAAGTACATGTACTTGTTTCTTCATTATCTTATATGAGCATGGTTAGGATCCCTTGAGGATTGACATTGCATTTAACTTTCATTGGGTCATCTTGAAAATTTGTATCTTCATTGTAAAGTTAATTGCATTGTGAAAGCAGTTTTTTCGTTTGAAATTTTAATGCATTAGTTACATCTTCAGCAACGAAGTGAAAGAATTCGGCGAGGTTTCCCAGATGTAGAATCAATTTTGGATCGATCAGAAGTGCCACTAATGGGACCCCACACACCAATCAGAGATTTCATTGAATTAACCTCCAGTGGCTCTGGATCAGGTATGTCCATCAGACCAGTAGAGCAGTTGACATAAAAATCTAAAAAAAAAAAAAAAAAAAATTGTGAAAAATTGAATTCCATTTTTTGCATATTTCATTTGTTCACCATTTGTAATATTTTTTTAGATGCTGATTTTTCTGGTACTTTTGCAGGTCTGCCATTATTGGTCCAGCGAAGTATTGCCAGACAAATCCAACTCATAGAAATTATAGGTAAAGGGCGATTTGGAGAAGTATGGCGTGGTCGATGGCGTGGTGAATATGTTGCTGTCAAAATATTCTCATCAAGGTATGGAATGTGCTTAATAACATCGTAATTTGAGATGCTCTTTATTTTATACGTGACTGGGAGGCTGCTGTCAGCTATATAAAAGGGGAAGACAGCAGAATTTAGCAATGTTTATTGAAGAAATAGGTATTAATTTTGGTTCTGTGGATTATTTAAATTGTGGTGTTCATGCACCTCTGGAAAGATAACTAGAGAATGAATGATGGTGAAGGTGTTTTCTTCTTTAGTTTGTATTACCATGGTGTTAGTTTTTTAGTTTAATATGTTTATTATGCACCCCATACCCATCCTGTTGGCGGTAGTCAAAAGATTACAGAGATACACAATTGGCCCAGGGACTGGACTCCAAAGTTTTGATAGCTGAGCAAGTTACAAAGGTAATGAGCTAGATCTGGTCATAATCATGACCAAGTTACAAAGGTAATAAGCTCCAGGTAGAGCTGGTCACACATGAATAATTGCAAAGGTAATGAATCATAAATACATTAATCATGAGAATTTACAAAGGTAATGAGCTCCAGGTAGAGCTGGTCACAATCATGACAAGTTTCAAAGGTAATGATTGATAAATGTTATGACATGATTACAATCATAGACAAATTACAGAGTAATGAGCAGTTAACAAACATAGTAGGGAATTCATCCATTGCCCCAACAACAGATGTTGCTAGGTGCCTGTCTCTCCTCAGCAGACAGCCATTGCAAACAGCAGTAAGTTGCCCACGGATCTGCTGCTTGCACGAGCACCATCGACCCTCCCCAAGAGGTCAAAGAAGCCAGTGACTCCGTTAGCAGCCCGATGGAGAGCTGCCCTAGGGACATGTCAGCGTCCTGGTGGACTCCAAGTTGATTGAAGATCCCAGGCCCTCATGTGCACGGATGTTGAAGCTTGAGGAACTGAGTAAACACTGCCTGTGGCACACCTGAAAGCTGCCTTGTGGTCGAACTCCACGATGCTGTCCCTGTAGTGGAAGTTCCTGTGAGCCCGGCAGTCCCTGCAGTGCCATCGCTGACATCGTGGGTTAGGGGAGAAGTACCCTCTACAGATGGGGTGGCGCTGGGAGTTGGGTGGGTGAGGCGGGGGAGACGGGCAGGGGTGAGGCGGGAGAGACGGGCAGGGGTGAGGCGGGGGAGACGGGCAGGGGTGAGGCGGGGGAGACGGGCAGGGGTGAGGCGGGGGAGACGGGCAGGGGTGAGGCGGGGGAGACGGGCAGGGGTGAGGCGGGGGAGACGGGCAGGGGTGAGGCGTTATGAGAGGGTCACTGTTTACCACCCTCCCCCTCCCCCTCCCCCTCCCCCTCCCCCTCCCCCTCCCCCTCCCCCTTCCCCCAGCAGAGGGGGGGAGGCGCTGACTGGTCCTGACTCAACAACACCAAACCATCTAAAACTGCACAATACTTCAACTATTTACGCTGAAACGATGCACTGGGATGTCCGTTCGCTGCTCTGGTATCTTCTCAAAGCATTCAAACTGAGTTCTGTTAAGTATGGACCTGGTCAGCCTCTTTGACCAGGAGCTATCCTTGAAAATCCGGCAGCTAGCCCGCTACACAACCTGCCGTGTCGGCCATGTTGAGCACTGTAATGTTACCATGGTGGGAATAGATTAATGTGTAAAAGATATTGAAATTGAGAATGTACTGTATATCTATATGTTATAGAAACTAAGTACAATTTATATCATATTATACATCTCAGATATTCTTATTCTTCACCTGTATAGTGCACCATTGCTTGTAACCCTTGTTGGCTAATAGTAAATATGCTCTTAGTTAACTATTTCTGTAACCTAATTTTAATACTTGGCTTAGGCCCACATCTGTGCACCTTGTGTGTTCCTAAGCATCAGAGGAAGTGGTGGAAAAACACTTGTAGCTGAGAAAATATGTTGTAATCAATTTCCTTAATTCTTATTTTTTTTAACACATTGGTTGTTTTATGCCAGAAAAAAAGAGGAAACACATTCACCATCATTCACTTAATCATCATGTCAGAAATGTGCTGATATTAGAGTTCAGATGACCCTTTGAACTGCGACATCCTCACCCCTTCCCTTTAGAGTGTAAGCACTGTATTTCCCATTTCAAGGATTCAAGTTCACTTTAACAGTTTCCCTCAGTGCTGTATGACCCTTGTTAGTTTAGCACTTTATTGGATGATAATAATAATAATAATAACAGTTTCTCCTGAATCCCTTTATAAATATAGTTAATGAAATATTAAATATTATAATGAAAACTACTTAGATAACATCAGTTTTGTGAGAATCTACAAAAAAACCTCACTTGTGTAATTTTTTTTTTTTTTATTGAAAATGATGACTTGTGTATTTTAAACCAGTTTTTCTGTTGTAATAGGGATGAGCGTTCTTGGTTCCGTGAAGTAGAAATTTACCAAACAGTGATGTTGCGACATGACAATCTGCTTGGCTTTATTGCTGCTGATAACAAGGGTAAGCAGTCTTAATTTTTCTGTACATTTTTTTTTTTCCAGATGAAAAACTAGTATTGCATTTTCAACTTAAAGTAGCACTTTGAAGCCTGTTTTTGCAAACTGTTACTGTACTTACTGTTTATTAGAATCTTAGATTTTTATTTATGTCTTTGTTTGCTGGTATCTTTAGTAAAGGATGCTAAAAACTATAAACATTCTCTACCTTTTCCTAACTTGTTGAATTCTGTGAAAACATAACATAACAACAACCTTTCCACAAAATGTATTAATCTCTTTTTTCAGATAATGGGACTTGGACACAGCTGTGGCTGGTAACAGACTACCACGAGAATGGATCACTATTTGACTATTTAATGCGGTATACAGTAGATACAGCTGGAATGATACGCATGGCATTATCCATTGCTACTGGCTTAGCCCATCTTCATATGGATATCATGGGTAATAAAGGTAAGTCCTTTAATAATAATATTTGGCCATATTATACTTCTGTGTTTTATCCTCTAAATACATAACTACATATCAGAGTGCATGATCCTAGTGGAATATTACATTTTTAATCATAAAGTGGAGCATTTTTACGGAACTGATGGGAATTTGCTCGTGTTTTCAGGAAAACCAGCTATTGCGCATAGAGATTTGAAGAGCAAAAATATTCTTGTCAAGTCCAATGGTACGTGCGCCATTGCTGACTTGGGTTTGGCTGTGAGATATGATTCAGCCACCGACACTGTAGATATTGTCCCAAATAATAGAGTGGGCACTAAAAGATATCTTGCTCCTGAGGTAATTACAGTATACTTAGTTTTTTTTTTTTATTATTAACACACTGGCCGATTCCCACCAAGGCAGGGTGGCCCGAAAAAGAAAAACTTTCACCATCATTCACTCCATCACTGTCTTGCCAGAAGGGTGCTTTACAGTACAGTTTTTAAACTGTAACATTAACACCCCTCCTTCAGAGTGCAGGTACTGTACTTCCCATCTCCAGGACTCAAGTCCGGCCTTCCGGTTTCCCTGAATCCCTTCATAAATGTTACTTTGCTCACACTCCAACAGCACTTCAAGTATTAAAAACCATTTGCCTCCATTCACTCCTATCAAACATGCTCACGCATGCCCGCTGGAAGTCCAAGCCCCTCGCACACAAAATCTCCTTTACCCCCTACCTCCAACTTTTTCTAGGCCGACCCCTACCCTGCCTTCCTTCCACTATAGACTGATACATTCTTGAAGTCATTCTGTTTCGCTCCATTCTCTCTACATGTCCGAACCACCTCAACAACCCTTCCTCAGCCCTCTGGACAACAGTTTTGGCAATCCCGCACCTCCTCCTAACTTCCAAACTACGAATTCTCTGCATTACATTCACACCACACATTGCCCTCAGACATGACATCTCCACTGCCTCCAGCCTTCTCCTCGCTCCAACATTCATCACCCATGCTTCACACCCATACAGGAGCGTTGGTAAAACTATACTCTCATACATTCCCCTCTTTGCTTCCAAGGACAAAGTTCTTGGTCTCCACAGACTCCTAAATGTACCGCTCACCCTTTTCCCCTCATCAATTCTATGATTCACCTTATCTTTCATAGACCCATCTGCTGACACGTCCACTACAAATACCTCCTCCATACTCTCTCCCTCCAATCTGATATCCAATCTTTCATCACCTAATCTTTTTGTTATCCTCATAACCTTACTCTTTCCTGTATTCACTTTCAATTTTCTTCTTTTACATACCCTACCAAATTCATCCACCAATCTCTGCAGCTTCTCTTCAGAATCACCCAAGAGCACAGTGTCATCAGCAAAGAGTAGCTGTGACAACTCCCACTTTATGTGTGATTCTTTATCTTTTAATTCCACACCTCTTGCCAAGACCCTCGCATTTACTTCTCTTACAACGCCATCTATAAATATATTGAACAACCACGGTGACATCACACATCCTTGTCTAAGGCCTACTTTTACTGGGGAATAATCTCCCTCTTTCCTACATACTCTAACTTGAGCCTGACTATCCTCGTAAAAACATCTGCCACATTGCCCCCCTATCCACCCTGTCATACGCCCTTTCCAAATCCATAAATGCCACAAAAATCTCTTTAGCCTTATCTAAATACTGTTCACTTATTTTTTTCACTGTAAATACCTGGTCCACACACCCCCTACCTTTCCTAAAGCCTCCTTGTTCATCTGCTATCCTATTCTCTGTCTTACTCTTAATTCTTTCAATAATAACTCTACCATACACTTTACCAGGTATACTCAACAGACTTATCCCCCTATAATTTTTGCACTCTCTTTTGTCCCCTTTGCCTTTATACAAAGGAACTATGCATGCTCTCTGCCAATCCCTAGGTACCCTACCCTCTTCCATACATTTATTAAATAATAGCACCAACCACTCCAAAACTATAACCCCACCTGCTTTTAACATTTCTATCTTTATCCCATCAATCCCAGCTGCCTTACCCCCTTTAATTTTACCTACTGCCTCACGAACTTCCCCCACACTCACAACTGGCTCTTCCTCACTCCTACAAGATGTTATTCCTCCTTGCCCTATACTCGAAATCACAGCTTCCCTATCTTCATCAACATTCAGCAATTCCTCAAAATATTCCCTCCATCTTCCCAATACATCTAACTCTCCATTTAATAACTCTCCTCTCCTATTTTTAACTGACAAATCCATTTGTTCTCTAGGCTTCCTTAACTTGTTAATCTCACTCCAAAACTTTTTCTTATTTTCAACAAAATTTGTTGATAACATCTCACCCACTCTCTCATTTGCTCTCTTTTTACATTGCTTCACCACTCTCTTAACTTCTCTCTTTTTCTCCATATACTCTTCCCTCCTTGCATCACTTCTACTATGCTAACTTTCTCTCCCTTACATCTCCTTTACATCATCATTCCACCAATCGCTCCTCTTCCCTCCCACACCCACTTTCCTGTAACCACAAACTTCTGCTGAACACTCTAACACTACATTTTTAAACCTACCCCATACCTCTTCGACCCCATTGCCTATGCTCTCATTAGCCCTCTATCCTCCAATAGTTGTTTATATCTTACCCTAACTGCCTCCTCTTTTAGTTTATAAACCTTCACCTTTCTCTTCCCTGATGCTTCTATTCTCCTTGTATCCCATCTACCTTTTACTCTCAGTGTAGCTACAACTAAAAAGTGATCTAATTATCTGTGGCCCCTATATAAACATGTACATCCTGAAGTCTGCTCAGCATTCTTTTATCTACCAATACATAATCCAACAAACTACTGTCATTTCGCCCTACATCATATCTTGTATACTTATTTAGTTATAGTTTAAATTTTCTATTTGGAAAATATAATTTATTATGCACAAATAACCCACAAATAGGCCCAAAGTCAGACTGAAATGTTGTCATTTGCTCTCTCTCTCTCTCTCTCTCTCTCTCTCTCTCTCTCTCTCTCTCTCTCTCTCTCTCTCTCTCTCTCTCTCTCCTATCTCTCTCTATCTCTCTCTCTCTCTCTATCTATCTCTCTCTATCTATCTCTCTCTATCTATCTCTCTCTATCTATCTCTCTCTATCTCTCTCTATCTCTCTCTCTCTCTCTCTACTCTCTCTCTCTCATCTCTCTCCTCTCTCTCTCTCTCTCTCTCTCTCTCTCTCTCTCTCTCTCTCTCTCTCTACTCTCTCTCTATCTCTCTCTCCTATCCTCTCTCTCTCTCTCTCTCTCTCTCTCTTCTCTCTCTCCTCTCTCTCTCTCTCTCTCTCTCCTCTCTCTCTCTCTCTCTTCATATATATATATATATATATATATATATATATATATATATATATATATATAATATATATATATATATATATATATATTATAATATATTATATATATATATTATATATATATATATATATATATATATATATATATATATATATATATATCTTTATGTCTCTCTATCTCTCTCTCTCTCTCTCTCTCTCTCTCTCTTCTCTCTATCTCACCTATGTGTGAGTTATTTGTGTATTGTTCCAGTCATGGTATTGTGCCATTTTGTTCTCTCCTATACTTTATTTTTACTGCTGCTACTTCTATGATGATTTCTGCAACAATGGCTGTAATGACAACTTCAACATCAACAGTGACAACATAGTAGAGATGCTCCTCGCTTTACAATGGTTCGACTTACGTTCATTGATAGGCTAATCTTGTAACTAACTAAATGCCAATACACAAATAACCCGCACATAAAAGACAGAAGCTTACGATGACGTTTCGGTCCGACTTGGACCATTGACAAAGTCACACTAACAGAGGAGGAGCAGAACGGTATTGTGCCTTTTTGTTATAAATGCCAATACTGGTATTTAGTTAGTCATTTTTGGTTTATTTACGTAATCAGTAACAATAGTTATTTATTTACATATATCATTTATATTCATATTTCACTTGTGATATTTTCAACTTACTACATGTTCATTGAAACATAACACCATCGTAGGCTGAGGAGCACCTGTGCAGGGAATAACTATGTTATACACAATCATAACTGATGCTCCAGCATTCATAAAACAAATACTTTCTCAACGTTATAACTTGGACATCATTCATGAGTGCAGATTACAGTGGACCCCCGCATAACGATTACCTCCGAATGCGACCAATTATGTTAGTGTATTTATGTAAGTGCGTTTGTACGTGTATGTTTGGGGGTCTGAAATGGACTAATCTACTTCACAATATTCCTTATGGGAATAAATTCGGTCAGTACTGGCACCTGAACATACTTATGGAGTGAAAAAATATCGTTAACCGGGGGTCCACTGTATTTGTAATTTTAGCATTAGTAAGTTGCAGACTCCTTTTATTTTTTTATTACTACTGTATTTTAATTATTTTTTACCCCTACAGCTGTCTCTAATATCCTTAAATGTTTGATGGTTTTCAAGAGATGAGTAAAATTAAGAAATTTTGCTTGGTCTTGTAGAATAAATTGTAATGGAGTCATTATTATAATGGAGGGTAGGAAAGTGAAAGGAATAAAACATTTACAGATAATACGTACTTTGATTTTGTGATGTGTAAGCATAAAGCAGTGAAGAGGTGATTAAGGAAAAGAATAGCTTGGACAACTAGCAGACGTGTGTGAGCATGCTAGGAGTCAGTAGAGGCAAATGATTTTTGGGACTCGGTGAGCTGTTGGAGTGCGAGCAAGGTAACATTTGTTAAGGGATTACAGTTAGCCAGACTTGAGTCCTGGAAGTGGGAAGCACAGTGCCTGCATTCTGAAGGAGGGGTTGGGATATTTACAATTTTGAACTGTAGTATCAGCACCCCTCTGGCAAGACAGTGAATGATAGGGAAAGGGTTTCTTTTTTGGGTTACCCTGCCTCGATGGAAGATTGTTAGTTTGTTGAAAAAAGATAATATTGTTCAGCGTGGGAAATGAGAATTTAAGTTTTAAAATTCATATAATAATTGTCCAGTTTTTAATCTGTTCCAGTTTTTATACAAGATGTGTCATTTGACAGCCTTAGTTTTCAGATACAATACATATAAAGAACTGCACATTAAATATACAAATAACCTGCACATATTCAGGTTGTTTATGTATTGTTCCATTCACAGTATTGTGCCTTTTTGTTCTTTATGCACATTGAGTAATTTTTATTTTACAGTGTCTTGATGAGTCAATGAACATGAACCACATTGACTCCTTCAAACGAGCAGATGTATATGCCCTTGGCCTGGTGTATTGGGAAATTGCCAGGAGATGTAACACAGGTAAGACTAAAAGATTGGAAGGAGCAGTTGGGAAGAATATAGAACTTAGCCTACTCTTGGGTTGTAAGATTAATTATGAAGGGATTCAAGGAAACCATTTAGCCAGACTTGAATTCTGGAGGTGGGAAGTACAGTGTCTGCACATTGAAGGAGGTATGTAGGTAGTAGGTTGGTAGACAGCAACCACCCAGGGAAGTACTGCCGTCCTGCCAGATGACTGTGAAACAGAAACCTGTAACTGTTTTGCATGATGGTAGAATTGCTGGTTTCTTTTTCTGTCTCATAAACACACTAGATAACAGGGATATCTTGCTACTCCTACTTACACTTTGGTCACACTTCACAGACACGCACATGCATATATATATACATACATCTAGGTCTTTCTCCTTTTTCTAAATAGCTCTTGTTCTTCTTTATTTCTTCTATTGTCCATGGGGAAGTGGAAAAGAATCTTTCCTCCATAAGCCATGCGTGTCGTATGAGGCGACTAAAATGCCGGGAGCAATGGGCTAGTAACCCCTTCTCCTGTAGACATTTGCTAAAAAAAGAGAAGAGAAAACTTTATAAAACTGGGATGCTTGAATGTGCGTGGATGTAGTGCGGATGACAAGAAACAGATGATTGCCGACGTTATGAATGAAAAGAAGTTGGATGTCCTGGCCCTAAGTGAAACAAAGCTGAAGGGGGTAGGGGAGTTTCGGTGGGGGGAAATAAATGGAATTAAATCTGGAGTATCTGAGAGAGTTAGAGAAAAGGAAGGGGTAGCAGTAATGTTGAAGGATCAGTTATGGAAGGAGAAAAGAGAATATGAATGTGTAAATTCAAGAATTATGTGGATTAAAGTAAAGGTTGGATGGGAAAAGTGGGTCATAATAAGTGTGTATGCACCTGGAGAAGAGAGAAATGTAGAGGAGAGAGAGAGATTTTGGGAGATGTTAAGTGAATGTATAGGAGCCTTAGAACCAAGTGAGAGAGTAATTGTGGTAGGGGACCTGAATGCTAAAGTAGGAGAAACTTTTAGAGAGGGTGTGGTAGGTAAGTTTGGGGTGCCAGGTGTAAATGATAATGGGAGCCCTTTGATTTAACTTTGTATAGAAAGGGGTTTAGTTATAGGTAATACATATTTTAAGAAAAAGAGGATAAATAAGTATACAAGATATGATGTTGGGCAAAGTGACAGTAGTTTGTTGGATTATGTATTGGTAGATAAAAGACTGTTGAGTAGACTTCAGGATGTACATGTTTATAGAGGGGCCACAGATATATCAGATCACTTTCTAGTTGTAGCTACACTGAGAGTAAAAGGTAGATGGGATACAAGGAGAATAGAAGCATCAGGGAAGAGAGAGGTGAAGGTTTATAAACTAAAAGAGGAGGCAGTTAGGGTAAGATATAAACAGCTATTGGAGGATAGATGGGCTAATGAGAGCATAGGCAATGGGGTCAAAGAGGGATGGGGTAGTGTTAGAGTGTTCAGCAGAAGTTTGTGGTTACAGGAAAGTGGGTGCAGGAAGGAAGAGGAGCAATTTGTGGAGTGATGATATAAAGAGAGTAGTAAGGGAGAAAAAGTTAGCATATGAGAAGTTTTTACAAAGTAGAAGTGATGCAAGGAGGGAAGAGTATATGGAGAAAAAGAAAGAGGTTAAGAGAGTGGTGAAGCAATGTAAAAAGAGCAATGAGAGAGTGGGTGAGATGTTATCAACAAATTTTGTTGAAAATAAGAAAAAGTTTAGGAGTGAGATTAAGAAGTTAAGGAAGCCTAGAGAACAAATGGATTTGTCAGTTAAAAATAGGAGAGGAGAGTTATTAAATGGAGAGTTAAAGGTATTGGGAAGATGGAGGGAATATTTTGAGGAATTGCTGAATGTTGATGAAGATAGGGAAGCTGTGATTTCATGTATAGGGCAAGGAGGAATAACATCTTGTAGGAGTGAGGAAGAGCCAGTTGTGAGTGTGGGGGAAGTTCGTGAGGCAGTAGGTAAAATGAAAGGGGGTAAGGCAGCTGGGATTGATGGGATAAAGATAGAAATGTTAAAAGCAGGTGGGGATATAGTTTTGGAGTGGTTGGTGCAATTATTTAATAAATGTATGGAAGAAGGTAAGGTACCTAGGGATTGGCAGAGAGCATGCATAGTTCCTTTGTATAAAGGCAAAGGGGACAAAAGAGAGTGCAAAAATTATAGGGGGATAAGTCTGTTGAGTGTACCTGGTAAAGTGTATGGTAGAGTTATTATTGAAAGAATTAAGAGTAAGACGGAGAAAAGGATAGCAGATGAACAAGGAGGCTTTAGGAAAGGTAGGGGGTGTGTGGACCAGGTGTTTACAGTGAAACATATAAGTTAACAGTATTTAGATAAGGCTATAGAGGTCTTTGTGGCATTTATGGATTTGGAAAAGGCGTATGACAGGGTGGATAGAGGGGCAATGTGGCAGATGTTGCAGGTGTATGGTGTAGGAGATAGGTTACTGAAAGCAGTGAAGAGTTTTTACAAGGATAGTGAGGCTCAAGTTAGAGTATGTAGGAAAGAGGGAAATTATTTCCCAGTAAAAGTAGGCCTTACACAAGGATGTGTGATGCCACCGTGGTTGTTTAATATATTTATAGATGGGGTTGTAAGAGAAGTAAATGCGAGGGTCTTAGCAAGAGGCGTGGAGTTAAAAGATAAAGAATCACACATAAAGTGGGAGTTGTCACAGTTGCTCTTTGCTGATAACACCGTGCTCTTGGGAGATTCTGAAGAGAAGTTGCAGAGATTGGTGGATGAATTTGGTAGGGTGTGCAAAAGAAGAAAATTAAAAGTGAATACAGGAAAGAATAAGGTTATGAGGATAACAAAAAGATTAGGTGATGAAAGATTGGATATCAGATTGGAGGGAGAGAGTATGGAGGAGGTGAATGTATTCAGATATTTGGGAGTGGACGTGTCAGTGGATGGGTCTATGAAAGATGAGGTGAATCATAGAATTGATGAGGGGAAAAGGGTGAGTGGTTGCACTTAGGAGTCTGTGGAGACAAAGAACTTTGTCCTTGGAGGCAAAGAAGGGAATGTATGAGAGTATAGTTTTACCAACGCTCTTATATGGGTGTGAAGCATGGGTGATGAATGTTGCAGCGAGGAGAAGGCTGGAGGCAGTGGAGATGTCATGTCTGAGGGCAATGTGTGGTGTGAATATAATGCAGAGAATTCGTAGTTTGGAAGTTAGGAGGAGGTGCGGGATTACCAAAACTGTTGTCCAGAGGGCTGAGGAAGGGTTGTTGAGGTGGTTCGGACATGTAGAGTGAATGGAGCGAAACAGAGTGACTTCAAGAGTGTATCAGTCTGTAGTGGAAGGAAGGCGGGGTAGGGGTCGGCCTAGGAAAGGTTGGAGGGAGGGGGTAAAGGAGGTTTTGTGTGCGAGGGACTTGGACTTCCAGCAGGCATGCGTGAGCGTGTTTGATAGGAGTGAATGGAGACAAATGGTTTTTAATACTTGACGTGCTGTTGGAGTGTGAGCAAAGTAACATTTATGAAGGGGTTCAGGGAAACCGGCAGGCCGGACTTGAGTCCTGGAGATGGGAAGTACAGTGCCTGCACTCTAAAGAAGGGGTGTTAATGTTGCAGTTTAAGAACTGTAGTGTAAAGCACCCTTCTGGCAAGACTGATGGAGTGAATGATGGTGAAAGTTTTTCTTTTTCGGGCCACCCTGCCTTGGTGGGAATCGGCCAGTGTGATAATAAAATAAAAAAAAAATAGGGATATGTTGTAGTTTTTGAACTGTAGTATCAGCATGCCTCTGGCAAGATAGTGACGGAGTGAGTAATGATGAAAGTGATTCTTTTTTTTTTTTTGGATTATCCTGCCTTGGTGGGAAATGGCTGATTTGTTAAAAAAAAAAAATAGAAAATCAATACATATGAGTAGATGAGTAGGACATAACATGCAACGGTGAGGCACCTTTATTTCCAAAATGCCACTTCTGTATTTAACCCTTTGACTGTTTTGGTCGTATATATACGTCTTACGAGCCAGTGTTTCAGACGTATATATACTCAATAATTCTAGCGGCTTCAAATCAAGCGGAAGAAAGCTGGTAGGCCCACATATGAGAGAATGGCTCTGTATGGTCAGTGTGCACCACATAAAAAAAATCCTGCAGCACACAGTGCGTAATGAGAAAAAAAACCTCTGATCATTTTTTGGGATTAAAATGCCGATTTTGAGGTGTATTTTCGTATAGTATTTATCGATGTATTTGCGTTTTCATGGTCTTAGGTGATAAAATGGAAAACATGTTACAGAAATAGAGATAATTTTCATTACTTTGACGATGAAAACGTCCTTGAAACTGAGCTCAAAGTAGCGGAAATGTTCGATTTTTACCAATGTTCAGGAGTAAACAAATCACACCACGCGTCCAATACACGTCAACTGAGGAGTCTAATATTCTTTCACTAGTGCACTGATATTATTTATACCATTTTTACAATAATGCAGTAGTCTGCATAACAGTAAATTTTGTATTTTTTTGTATGAATAAGAAATCAAAATAGAAAGCAATAATAATATAAGAGGGGCCTAGAGATGTGACTAATGAACAGAGGATATGTTATTTTAGTGCCAAGAATGTCTACCTTGTTTTTTCTGGACCCTATTTTGAAATTGGCATCTTTTTTAGTTTGCGTGAAATTGGCCAAATTGCCAATTTCTGACCACAATATTGGGTAGTCCAAATTGGTAAATGGGAGGTTTCTTGTACTCATCTGATAGATAAAATGGAGCTCTAAAGAAATAGCTATGAGTTTGGTCAACTGGAACAATGGAATTGGCTAAAAATAGGGCTCAAAGTCGGCGAAATCGCCGATACGCATATGTTGCCGAGACCGATAACTTCGCGGGAGCGTAATTCCATGAGTTTTCGACCAAATTTCGAACTTTTGGTGTCATTACCATCGGGAAAAGATTCTCTATCATTTCATAAGATTTTTTTTTTTTTTTTTTTTTTTTTTTTTTTCAAAA